AACGAATACGTAAAAGCTGAATACTGTAAACAAAAATACTCCTCGTAGCACGTTCCAAATTTCGAAACTCTTTACTTGTTTACGTTTCCAGAAAGCTTTTAAAACGGCAGCTGGCTGTTATTTTGAACCCTGAAAAAATGTTTTTCGGTCACTCTGTACACTTTTTCTGTTCACTGATAACTCATTTGATTTCTGGTTTTATTCTAGTGAGACCTTCGCTAAATCATTTGATTATTTTGCTATTTTGAGTTCGCGGAACGAGCCGTTTCGAAATATACGCTCATTACACGAGCCATCTTTTAGAGTGGGTCTACCGCGAACAGTGTGTGGGTCTGTATGCCTAAGCGTAGAAAAGATGACACCATTCGCTAAGATATTCGACAAATCTGTCATGTTCAACATGGTGGAAAGAAGCTCTATTACGTGTCTGCGGTATTCCCCATTGCACGTGACTGAGCTCTGTGGAGAAACACGAGGGTAAACCTATAGTCGGTCGCCCGTCTAATTAAAATTTAACTTTGCAAACACAAAGCCTATAACACGCTAGATTTTTTTTTTTTTTTAACACGCTGAGTTCCTTTTTTTCCTTGACCGGCTGGCTTACCTTTTTTTACCCAGCCTAATTTGTCACTTGTGTTTGTCAAGTGTATTACTAACAAAATATAAGCGAAAATGAAGAAGATCTCCTGTCTTACTCGAAAGTTGTAATAATAGAGGAAACACTCACGACAAATCACTTTCCCTCAAGATTTTCAGAAGGAATTCAGTGAGTACGACGTGTTTCACAAGGTCCTGAGGAGCTCAGTTTGAACACATGAATTACTTTTTTAAAAGTAAATCCTTACCTCGTAAAATATAAATCCTTTTCGCTTCACGCAGTTAATTAGCCCTGTACTGAATATTTGTGAATCCTTTACCAACAGATTACCGGCTCCATGTCTCCTTAACGACGCGGTCGCTGTTTGTCACTCTATGCAAGTTGGCATTTTTTTGAAATGAATGACCGCTACTAGCTGGCGCAAAACGAAGCTTTCCGAGCGAAGCCGCGTACTATTCATTATTATATACATACTGAGATTTACGCGCCAAAATTCATCGAGATAAAGATAGGCTCTTCGCACTAGAAAAGCCAGCTGATTGGTCATACGATTATCATTGTTTTCACTAGTGAACAAAACCGTGTCGCTTACTCGCCGCTCCTCTTGACCGGCGCATTTTTTTAGGAAGATGGCTTCAAATCAGACTAACCGTTTTCAGAGCCTAGAATCATCAATAGAAGAGTTCACAGACGGACAGGAAAATGAAAACACCAAGAAAAAGACAAAAGAATATGTTGCTCTGTTACATGAATTTCTTGTTTTGAAAAGAGAGACGAGACAAATGGACGAGTGACTCCTCAAGCGCTGAACAAGTTTCTCAGCGAGTTCTTTATAACTGTTCGCAAAAAAGAAGATTAGGAATACGAGCTTAGTACCCTAATGGCATTTCTCGCCAGCTTTAAGCGCCATTCGAAGAAAAAAAAAACTATGGATATGCCTTATGAAAGACGTCCAGTTTGAGCAAACTCGGAAAGCACTTTTAGTCAAAGCAAAGGGATCTAAAACAGAAAGGCATGGGCACCAAGCCCAATGCTTCTGCTGCTTTAAGTGAGGAAGATATTCGAGTTCTGTTTGAAAAGGATCTCTTGGAAAGTTCCACGGCAGAAGCGCTTTTAAACAGGCTGTGGTTCAACGACACAATCCATTTCGGGTAACGAGGTTGCAAGGAGACCAGAGAAATGTGCTGGGGAGACGTAAAACTTTGTCAAAACTTCCACAGGGCAGGAGTACCTCAAATTCAATGAAAGAGAAACCAAAACTCGTCCAGGAAACGATCCACGGAAAGTAAGAGCCATTGCAATGAAAATGTTTGCTGTGCCGAACAACGAGAAATGTCCAGTCAAGGCCTTCAAAGTCTACGCAGAAAAGCGACTCGTGGAAATGAAAACCGACGATGCACCGTTTTATTTGGCTGTAAGCAATGCAAAATCTGGCTTCGGCAAACCTCGGCTCAAAAAAAGCTCCAGTCGGTGTAAATAAACTTAATACCTTAATGAAAACAGTGGCACAGAAAGCCGGACTCGGGCCAAACTTTAAAAACCTCAGCGGCAGAAATACTATGATTCAAACTTTAGTGAACAACGACGTGCCGCCAACTGATATTAGAGTGGTTTAGCAAGAGGACGGGAACGTCATTTCAGAACGGCGCGCGCAGCAGAAGTACCGATAAGAAACTGGGTCTACAACACCATCGTGTTGTGTTGAAAAGTGAATTAGCAGTCGTTGTAACGAACCGTCGACGTTATATTTGTTCTTGAATATCCTAACCTCGGCTCTTTAAGATCACTATCAGCTTTGAATTTTCGGTTTCATAGACCACTTGAAGGATAACTAAGTTATCCTCTTTGAGAGTGTAACATGCACAAACAGACCATAATTTACTACAAGTGAGTTGTTAACATGAATCCACATGGGCGATTATATTTGAAACTATTTCAATCCAGTTAAGTCTCGAGTCTGCAGATTCATCTATCAAACTTTCAAGTCCACTAAATATATTTTTCTATGATTTTTATCGCTGTCATTTTGTTTCGTGCTTCTAGATTTCAGCATTACTCGTTTTCCTTCACAATTTTGTAAAGTATAATTTGGAATTGAAATCATCGCCGTTTTTTCCTTGTTTACTGATTATTCTTCTCAATCATGACAGGACATCTCTTTTGAGCACCACCTTCTTAGAGTTGCAATGAATTTTGAACGGGGTTATCAGGAGTTGTGGCGAAAACATGTAGAGATCAAGCGACCCAACGATGGAGGTGTTTACAATGAGTTCCCGTTTGACCATGAACGAATGAAATGCCCTCAAATTAGTCACCAACGAAACGGGTAGACTGAGGAATAAGACTTCGTTACTGTTTTATTTTGCTTTTGTTTTTGCTTAATTTCTTTTTTTTAACGAATAAAGTCGTTCAAGACTGAATCAAATGAATAGATTTAGAAAGCCGTGCCGAAATCAAGTTGATTCGCATTTTCTTTCGTAACGATAGAATGACTCTCTTGTCTTAGTTTTCACGGGCGCTGATCAAAAACTTAAGACATAAAAAAGTGCAAACCCGATCTATTCTCAAATTTTTTTATCGCTGACTTCGATTCGCAGAAAACTTTTTAATCACAGTGAAAAAGACAATGACAACAAATAACACTGAATAATACAGCAGGTAATCTTCGTGTTGTTTCATTTTGACAAACTTCAACATGAAGTAAGTTTAATTTATTGATGAATTAATTCACGATAAAATTAAGAGCACCCATTCTTCAAGTTTCCATGCATGGTTTAAGAAATGTATCAAAGAAAAGCCCTCACGTTGTTTAAAAAACCACGCTAAATTACAAAAGGTAACTGAGCCTAAAATCTTCGATCGCTTACTAACGATCTTGTTTCCCTTCAGAAATCCAGAATAAATATAATGGTAAATTTTCACAACTTCACCGAATAAAAACAAAGAAAGGACTTGGTTATCTTGGAAATGAGCTCTGAAATCATTCCAAACAACATTATCTTGCTTCTAAGTGCAAACTTAACGCAAATCCTAGGCGTTTTGATCACGACGGGAAAACCAGCAAGATGACGTCCCGAACTTGATGGGGAGAACGGCAATGCTAACACCGAACGTCGAAATAAAGTCATGTCCAGATTATCCGCGCGCTTTCCCGTTCTGAAATGACGTTCCCGTCCTCTTCCTAAATCACTCTATTATGCAACTGTCAGGACACAAAACGTTCAAAGTATCACTAGCTACTTTACCGTCTCACAGAAACAACAGTTGAACATGTCTCACACTCTCACTGGACTAAGTTTGGGAGAAATAACTCCCAAGTCTCCCTCTTCTATTCCGGAGAAAAGAAAGCACGAGTTTGACGAACTCGCTTATCCAACAAGCAAGCAAGCAGCACAGCAGCCCCCTATTCTTTTTTTTCGGTGCTGTTATAAGCGGAGGACATATTAGAGTGGCATTAAACACTTTAAATCAATCGCCCACACTTTCAGTACGAGAGAGCAAACTCATAAAAAATTGCTAAACTTCTTAATTCGGATTCTGACTAGTGTTTGTCAGTGCATGCGGGTTCTGATAAGCAACAAAATGAATTCTCGGGTTTTAATTTCTGTATTCCAAATTTTGAACTTCCGTAAAACTCTTTCCACATATTTTCAGGATGTCTTATTTTATTCTAACTAGTTCTACCTTTTTTAACGGTATTTTTGCTCGATAATTTAAATGTAAAGTTTTACAAGGAAGCCATTTCAGTGCAACTCTCGAGCTGTGAGGCAGTTGTTTTCCTTTGAAAGAAAATAAAGATATGTTTATCTCTGAGTTCTGTTCGCTTATGAATCCCGGTACGCATATATTAATTAAGTTATTTCATGGTAATTTCACTTGCACGATTTTTATTCACTCGTTGTAAATAAAAATCGTACACACTCACCAACCATGAGACAACCTGTATTTGTACGCCGATCTTGGCATCTTACGAGCTCTAAGTCTTTAGCACTGCGGTACATACCTTGCGGAACGCAACTGTAACGCAAGGATAATTAAAATTAACATGGTCGAAGGTACTAACGAGCTTTCTTTTTTAGTTCGCAAAGTGAGCAAACTTAAAGAATCAAACTCCTCTGGACCCTGTGCGTGTATTCAATTGCTTTTGGTTTCCATAGTTAGGTCATTACACTACAACACGTTTACACACGCAAAGGAACAGGCAAACGCCTCTTAGTCGTTCATTATCAAGTTTCAAAATGCATTCACAGAGTCATAGATTCTCATACTTTCTAACTGGCGGAAAAGATTTAGAATCCCTGGCGGAAGATTATTTTTTGGCGGCAGACCAGAAGAGGAAGATGATCAACTAGACGACTACGGTTCTGACAGCAGCGATGAAACTAATCAGGAAATTGACTCGATGATGAATTTGACTTTTGAAATTGAGATACATCTAAGCGATAGAAAGTGCAGGCATTTGCGACCAAAACATGTGGATGTGCACTGAGATAAAGGAGATCCATGCAGCTCTACTAACAAAATTGAAGTCATCTTCGATTGCCGAAACAACCTTGGGAACTTTCCTCGACTGAACTCGATCTGGTACTGAATTTTGGGAATGATCCACTAGGCCATAAACTGTGACCGGGTCAGCAACGCGGGAAGAGCAGAGAAAATGAGGCAGCGAACAAGGATGCCTTTCCTTCTTCACAGCCACCGAATCTGCCTGAAAACGTTTCTTTTCATGCATCGTCTCCACAAGACCAGATTCTACAGTCGCGTTAAACATAATCGGGTTAGCGGACTATCGCTTCGTACTCACGGCAACAAGTCTTGACTTCTACCTAGCTCCGCTTTCAGTGCCGAAACTATTAAACGGGTGGTAAAGTTCATCATGAACGTCGCCAAAGACCAAGCTTTTTTACTTCCAGGACGTGTTCCTGGCCTCAAAAGAACTGAAAAGAAACTGCTGCCAACCTCCATGACAAAATCTCGTCTTTGGAGAAGGTGCGTAGAGACTAGCAAGGCGAGCGTTCAGTGCCACATTAGTACAAGTCCAACGTCTACGGCTGATGTATCAGTACAAAACGACCACTACGACGTGACTACCGAGCTCCGAAAGCAGATATTGAACTGAAGTAGCTAAGCAGTTGACAGCACTGAAGTGTCTCCATCAGCATGAGCCGGAGCCTGCTTCTTTGCCGTTATTTGATGATGATTCGGACTTCCCAACATTGGATTCCGAAGCAGTCGCATCTCTGGTGAGTTTCGATAGCAGCCCCCTGGTCAAGACGTACAAGGAAACAGCCCCATTCAGTAAAGAACTTACTGAGTCTTAGCGTCCCATCTGCGTACACTGCGTAAAATCTACCAAGAAAGCCCGTCGCCCGTGTTTCCTGACAAAATGGCTCCAACAAGATCACCTCTGCAGCCTGTTGACCAGGACGTCGTCCATTAGTGTCACGCAGCCACGGTCCAACGGATGAGCAGCGAACCAAAGTAACTACAATTGTAACGAAGGGAACTGATATGTATCCTGCGCCCTTGCTTCTGTTGATGTTCTCTTTACCGGCGGCGAGATGGCAAGGTGCAACGGATCAGGAACTAAAGGTTTCCACCGGTTGGACAGCGGAAAATTAGGCTTTGTCGTGTCCGTTTTACAAAGAAAGTTTGACTCGCCATTTTTAGTGAGCAATGGAATCAGATTACCCCTCGCATTAATACGAAATGTAGAGGAAAGAGGAGGACTCTTATTCGCATACTTAAGAAAACTAATTTGTTTCGAAAACACAAAGATGGTACAATTAGTCTATCCTTTCCCAAAAAAAATTATAAGTCGGCTAATTGAGTTAGCCATTGTTCAACAAAATTTGGTTCTAATTTATTTCAAATTTGGCTAATCTTAGCATATAAACTTTACTAATTATGGAGAGCCTAAAGAAGGCATAAAACGCAGACTAGAAAATCATTTATCTGCCCAAAATAATGCATTTACAAACAGGTTAGGTGACGACAGTCAAAGGAATAAAGTTTCGCAAATAGACAGTCAGTTAATAAAAAAGTATATTAGATATTTATTTTTATATAATAAGCTCAGTTATGCACGCACTCCGACTGGTTCTCACTTATGATCTATTGGAGGACAGACATATAGATGACGTCATCATTAAAACTTTTTCCGTATATTTTAATTCTTTTTTATATAAAACAATAGATTCCAAGTTGCCGTGCGTCTGTTCAGTAAGTAATAGAGAGGACGTCAAAATGTGGTAAGAACATCAGTGACACACTCGGCTGCGCCTTGTGTACCACTTTTTGTTCTTACCACATTTTGACGTCATCTGTAATCTATTACTGAATAGACGCACGGCAACTTGGAATTTATTTGTTAAATCTTGTTCTCTCCTTCGGATAAAAAAAGAAAAGAATGGCGTTCTCGTGGTGAGAGGGAATCGAGCCCCACACCGCCGATTTAGAGAGCGCAAGCGCTACCACTGCACCACACGGAATGATCGCTTACAAATTTCTTGGTGCCGTTAGATTAGTTCAAATGCACTTTATAGAGCGCGACTGTAATTTAGGACGTTTCGTGTTCTATTTTAGATATATTCCCTAATGGAATACCAATTTTCAAGAAATAGAGTTTCTTTCCCGGATCTTATATTGCCCGTATCCCCATATTCACTTTATCAGAAATATAACCGGCAGTAATTAAATTCAATTTCGGTTACAGGGGCCCGGATATCTCTAGAAAAACTTTACAAATCCGTAGGACTTCGTGAGTCATTTATCACCGTAATATATTGAGGTAAATTTATGGCATAACGTAATATTGTTTCATAGAAGCTTGAAGAGAAATTAAGGGTGCATGACTTATTTTTAAATTCACTTTCTTAGTTGTTACACTTCAAGTGTTTTGACTGGCTCATTTAAACTGGGCTCTCACTTTTTGACCTGGCTACAGGTGTCACTGGGCTGATTTTTTTTAGTTGTTTTTTTGTCATCTCTGCGTGCAAAGAAGAATAATCAGAAGAAAACTGAAACAAAGACATGAACACTGAACTGCATAGAAGAATATTGTTGATTTGATAACTAGACTAGTTAGGGAAGAGGAGAAGGGTCTAAGGGGGAAATTCCCTCTTCGAATGTTTCCTTTAACACATTCTCGTATAAATTTTTCTTTAACGGTCCATTAAGCGAACGAATTTTCCTAAACCAATGCATGTTTCAAATGAAAATGTGCTAATGCAGCTTTATTAGGATATAACCCAAATATGCGATATCAACCATGCATTCAAACGTCTGCTTTGAAGGTTGGATTCTATGCGTTCCTCTTACACCAATATTAAAAAAGACTCCAAACTTACAGCGTCCCCAGCAAGGTATTTTTACTGAAAATGCTTGATGGTAAACTCTTCAACTGGTTGTTGTTCAACTGCCTATCAAAAATTAATGAATGTATTTTCAATTGCATGGTATACGACAGCAAAGTTCAGAGAAAAAAAGCTATTACTTCTGTTCTCATGCTCTGATAGAAAGGCCTAAAACAAATCCACAATTACTACAAAATAATTTTTTATGGGTTCGCCATATTTTTCCTTTTTTTTTTTTTTTTTTAATTTTTGTTCCTTCGTCCAAAAGAGAATATTTAGAGGAAAATTGAAACATAGACCTGAGTACTGAACTACATGAAATATTCTTGACTTGTTAATGAGGCTATTCAAGGAAGAGGGAAAGGTTTCAAAGGGCGAAATTCTACCTCAAAATAATTCCGTTAACAAATTTCCTTACAAATGTTTCTTTGATAATCTATTTCGCGAAAAAAAAAATTTTCCTGAACTAATGCATGTTTCAAAGGTCATTTCATAGTCCAAGTGTTAATGCGGCTGCAGCCATGCGGCCACTCCAGATGGGTATTGCTACTGAAAATGCCTGATGGTAAATTCCTCAGCTGGTTGTTGTTCAACAACCTATCAAAACTAAAGTTAGTGTATTTTCAATTGCATGGTATACGACAACATAGTTCAAGGAATAAGAGTGCTCGAAAAAAAGAGTTGTTACCTCTCTTCTCCAAAAAAAAAAAGACAAACAAAGCAAAAAACCAAACCAAGTGAAAGCTTGGCATTCCTCTGTGCAAACAAGCAAACAAAAACAAACGAACAGGGAAAGGTGTGGGTACCGATTTGTTTCCGGTTCACGTGACATTTTCCAATTATGATCTACTCACGAGAGTGTCCAATTAGTTTATTTAATTTATAAGTATTCTTTTTTTAACAAAGATATCTTTTTTCTTGTAGGAAAGGAAAGACTCAAGTATTTTTTACGCTCATAATTCGTCACTTTATAATTTAAGCGTTATTTATTTGCTTGATTTATCTCGTTTTTTAAGCCCATGCTCCAACGAAATGCCTTGAATCCACAGCAAGGTAGAAAAGATTGCTAATTCTTTTGTCTATTCTCAGTAACCGGGCTTTATATCATCCGCAAGCAGGGGAGCTCGTTTCAGCTTCTGACAGTTGTTCATCAACAATCATCTTTGCAGCAAAGCCTCGTTTCATAATCCATAAATATTTTTTCACGGGTATGGTCTAAAACGTGTCACCTGACCTTACAACCGAGTAGTATCTTGTGATATTATCAAACTTATTTTCCCAAATCCAATTGCTCTACGCCGATGTTTGAATGTAATTGTATTCCAGAAAAGAGCACACCTTGTAACTAATAGACTGTTCTTACATATACTCGTGGGTGCCTCCAAGACAAAAAAAAAATCGTGCAAAGCCGTTTTTTAAAAAAACACGACCACACGCTGCATAACAATAAATCGATTAAACTGTTATTTCCTCTTGTAAGTCGAAGGAGGCAAGTACAATAAAATGAGCGTTATTTAATTGAGTACTAAACATGGCCTCTGATAAAATGTATTTGCAAAAAGTCATTACAAAGAATCAAACGCCGAAGTGTGTCAGTATTTTTCCCGCAATCCAACTAAGAGAGGGTGTCAGTAGCTCAAAATTCGTTTTCACCCCAACTTTCATATTTTGTAACCCAATATGTCTTAAAATTGTGGTGCAACATTTTTTTTGTGAAAATATATTTCAGTTTTCGAGAAAAGACTTTTCTCGTTCGATCGCTAAAATATGTAAATTTTTACCGTAAATATTACCCGAGTTGTGTGACCTCGTGTCATGAATTAACTTGACCTCCAGTATTTCTGTCAAAATAATCCTTTATTTTATCATCTAAACTTAATCCCATGTCATTGCTGAAGCTGGCAAAGGAATATTTATTTTTGGTAAATACTTTTGTACGACATACTTTTCCCATGTCGAAAAGTAGCATAACAAAATCTACTGAGCTTCTAGCTTTAAAAAGACAAAAGGATGGTTATAAAGTCACTGTAAATATTTAATTGTGTATGTGTGTTGTTCCATGTTGAGACGAACTCAAAGTCCGGCAAAATTTACTTGCCAGCGACTATGAAATATACATGGTGTGCCTACTTGTCGCCACCGTTTACTGTCATAAATTACTACAGTAACATTATAACCATCCTATTGTCTTTTAAAAGCTTGAAGCTCAGTAGATTCTACTTTTTCTAAATAACTCGACGGCTCGAATGTTACATTTACTATTATTATTTTTTTCCTGTTTTGCTTTTGTTTTAAATGGCTTGTTCTGGTAATAAACTTTAATTTATTGAAAAAAATTCGCCGATGCAAAAGTCATTTACAACGAGATTCAGAGAAAGTTTTTGTTACAACATTTTTGTTTTGGGCTACTTTCCTATTCCCTTTTACATCATATCTTTACACTTTTTTGTTCATAAAACTTTCTTTACATTTATGAACGAAAGAATCCTCTCTATAAAAACAAAGCAATTTATCTGGTTCAATGTTCTACACATTTCTAATTTCCTAAATATTCCAGCCACCCTCAGAAACTTTAAAATATTTTACACCCAAGAGGCTTGGAAAAAGGACACAATGAAAACAAACCTAATTTAAGCGCTCGAAAATGAGGGATATCAGCCCGGAGGAAAACCTTTTTTCCCCATTGCCTGGTTTTGTTTCCCATTACAAGCATTATCGGAGTTATTATTTGTGACCCTCTACGATTTCAGGGAATAAGGTGAACGCACGCACACGGCACGTTATAACACGCTCCCGCGCCAATAGCATGACAGGCTTACCGTGCAGATGTGCGCATAAAAACAATTGACTCTGGAAAGCTTGTTGGTAGCCATTTATCATATCTAGCCAGCGCGGTAGAGCTTTGAATCTATAACTCGCCAGATTTCTCTTTTTTTTAACCCGCTAAGTTCCTTTGTTTCCTTAACACGTTACCGTATCTTTTCCAACCCAGCTCAATTTGTCACTTGTGTTTGTCAAGTATGTTACTAACAGAATATAAGCGAAAATAAAGATCTCCTGTCCTATTAGAAAGTTGTAATAAAAA